GTTGCAGTGGTGTCAGTGTGGTGCCAGTGGTGTCAGTGTGTTGCAGTGGTGTCAGTGTGGTGCCAGTGGTGTGAGTGTGGTGCCAGTGTGGTGCAGTGGTGTCAGTGTGGTGCAGTGGTGTCAGTGTGGTGTCAGTGTGATGCCAGTGGTGCAGTGGTGTCAGTGTGGTGCCAGTGGTGTCAGTGTGGTGCAGTGGTGTCAGTGTGGTGCCAGTGGTGCAGTGGTGTCAGTGTGGGTGTCAGTGTGGTGCCAGTTTGGTGACAGTGGTGTCAGTGTGGTGCCAGTGGTGTCAGTGTGATGCCAGTGTGATGCCAGTGGTGTCAGTGTGATGCCAGTGTGGTGCAGTGGTGTCAGTGTGGTGCCAGTGGTGTCAGTGTGGTGCCAGTGGTGTCAGTGTGATGCCAGTGTGATGCCAGTGTGGTGCCAGTGGTGTCAGTGTGGTGCCAGTGGTGTCAGTGTGATGCCAGTGTGGTGCAGTGGTGTCAGTGTGGTGCCAGTGTGTTGCAGTGGTGTCAGTGTGGTGCCAGTGGTGTCAGTGTGTTGCAGTGGTGTCAGTGTGTTGCAGTGGTGTCAGTGTGGTGCCAGTGGTGTGAGTGTGGTGCAGTGGTGTCAGTGTGGTGCCAGTGGTGCAGTGGTGCAGTGGTGTCAGTGTGGTGCCAGTGTGGTGCCAGTGTGATGCTAGTGGCGCAGTGGTGCCAGAACCTGTTGTGCCGTCTGGATGGTGTGGTTCTCCATCTCCAGCATCTGGAAGCCCTGCAGAAGAGCTTCTTCAGTGGACTCCGGGAGAGTGGCTGAGAAACACGAGCGCAGAGAGCGAGACGTCAGACCGCAGATGTCCTCGATCGGCAGCTGAGGAAACATTCACCAATATTAAACATTTCATTTAATATTCAACAATAATATTTTAATATTATTGAATATAGATCTGCTTCCGCCTACGTCCCGCTTGACCTTTCACCCTGATTACGTTATATTTGTCACATGATCACATCACAGCGAGAGCAAGACCAGCATTAGTGGTTAAAGTATATAAATGTGTGTTTTGTTGTAAAGATCAGACTCTTATTCCTCGGCTGGATCGTGTCGAGACTTTGAAACTCACATCTGACCTTCGACCCGTTGGACCCCATTGAAGTCCATTATATGGAGAAACCCTGGAGTGTGTTCCTCAAAAAACTTCATTTCTTTTCGACTATAGCAAAATAGCTGTTACTATCAATCAAGAAGACATCAACACAGTTCAGTCAGTAACACTTTATTTCGATGGTACACTATAGTTCTACTAACTACAAGTAACTTTACAACTCCATGTCAGCATATTCTATTGAACCTAACAGTACTAATACTCTAATGAGAGTTAGTTGATAAGTTACTAATAGTTAGTGTAGAGTGTCTAATGTGGACTTAATTAAGATGAAGGAACATTTGTTGCAATAGATTGTTAAAGAAAGATGTGCAAGAACAATCAGTTTACAAACTAAACATTTGACAAAAAAGTTTCATTCAAAGGTTCATTAAAATAGCATAACGTACTTAATAAAATAAAACATTACACTTAAATTAGCATTTAGATGCGACCGACATATAATCATTCTCTAAAATATAAAAAGGAAGCTATATTTATGTACAACGAGTGAAAAATGTATGTATGAAGAGTTCAGATGCAAAAGCCTCTAAATTTTCTTCTTTAATGATGATTTTTATCAAACTTGTATATTTAAGTTCAGTAATTTCACTTAAATAACAATTAATAGGTAATTATCATTGCCATTTAAGTGAAATTACTGAACTTAAATATACAAGCTTGATAAAAATGATCATTCTAGAAGAAAATTTCAAATGGCATTTAGAGGCTTTTGCATCTGAACTCTTCATATATATATATATATATATATTATACTTTTACCCTGTTTTTCACTAAACCTTCCCCTAGTTTAAAACGCATTATTTTAGGTCATATAGGGGTTCTTCTGGTTAAATGCAAGTCTTGTTTAGCTAAACAGACTAATTTTCATACTGAATGGATGTTATACGTGGCATGCCTACACACACATACTAACAGATCATAACACACCCTATCTACCCAGGGCTGGAGCTGATCCGAGTGCACTACACAGCAGAATTGTGTGTATAAATGAGAATGTTGAGTGTGTGTGATGTTATGTTAGCAGACTCGCCTCAGCGGGGAGAAGCGTCTCTTCTGCGGCTGCGCGGATCTCCAGAACCGAGTCGGTCTGTTTGTCCGTTAACGGCGCCATTGGATCAGCACGACAGTCCCAATGTGAGAGTTTCTCTCGGGTCTCTTTATCAGTGAGATCTAGGAGACTCTGTTCTGTGGAAGACGCCATCATGGACAACAACACTCGACGTCAGCACGTCACCTACACGGACGCTGCTTCCGTGTTGGGCGGAGTCAATGCGCCGGCGACCAATCAGTGAACGGGGTTCACTTCCTCGTCACCACCAGATAATACATTCAGCATTATTATTTCAGGTATATTGAAATAAAAACAAAATAACCGGAGTAGATTTGTAAAGAAATTCGCGTATTATGGTTGTAGAAAATATATTCTACTAAAATTATATAGGATATAGGACTTTCTAAATGTTTTTGGAAGTTTCTTCTGTTCATCAAGGCTGCATTTATTTGATAAATACAGTAAAACAGTGTAAATCATCTGTTTTCTTTTTGAATATCTAGTAAAGTGTAATTTATTCCTGCTGTGATCAAAGCTGAATTTATCATCATTACTGCAGTCTTCAGTGTCACATGATCCTTCACAAATCACTCTAATATGAGGATCTGATGATCAACACACAGTTATGATTATTATATTTTTTGTGAAAACTGCAATAAGCTACTTTTTCAGGATTCATTGATGAATAAAAAACAAAAGAGCGGCATTATATACATAATATTAATGGTTGGAGCCTATAAATTTGAACGCTTTAAACTGTACCATGTTTCATTTTAATCTTCTTTAGTGTTTTAATCTTCCATTGTACACATCTAAATGTTTTGGAGTCATCATATTTAATATTTGGAGCCATTCACACTGATAATGGGACAAACCAGTTTATTATTCCAGGGCAGGACATTTTTCAACAAAAGAAAATTAACTCAGGGAAAACAAAATTCATTTGAAATACAAAATATAATTGTAACACTGTACATTGAACAACATGTTAGAAGAATTTCCAGAAAAGGGCAAAAAAAGGAGAAGTAAATTAAATCATGCATAAGTGCAGCTCAATCTGCAATACGACTAACAAAACACTGATTTATTGTCCAACTGATTATTAACGAGCATCCCTTTATCAACACAAACCTCAGTTAAATAGTTACGATATTAGGATATATCCATACTTTCATGTCACACATGATAAGCAAAGCGGGACCAAAACAATTAAATTAATCAACTGAAACGTCACAGTTTTCTTGCCGAGTAAAGCCGACACAGGAGTGCAGTGTTCGGCGACTGCAGACATGTCAATCACTCGGCATTTAATAAGACGGGTAAAGTTAAAGGGCTATATGCAAGAACTGGTCATCTATTAATCACTTTTTTTTGCCAATGTGTGAACTAGCTTGTGTACGCAACAGAATAAAAACATTGAAAAGGTAATTGTTTGTTGTTGTCTCACAATTGTGACTTTTTTCCTCAGAATTGCTCATTTTTACCTCACAATTGTGACTTTTTCCCTCAGAATTGCTTTCACAATTGTAACTTTTTTCCTCAGAATTGCTCATTTTTACCTCACAATTGAGACTTTTTTCCTTAGAATTGCTCATTTTTACCTCACCATCGACTTTTTTCCTCAGAATTGCTCATTTTTACCTCACAATTGACTTTTTTCCTCAAGAATGGCTCGGTTTTACCTCACAATTGTGACTTTTTTCCTCAGAATTGCTCATTTTTACCTCACAATTGTGACTTTTTTCCTCAGAATTGCTCATTTTTACCTCACAATTGTGACTTTTTTCCTCAGGAATGGCTCGGTTTTACCTCACAATTGTGACTTTTTTCCTTAGAATTGCTCATTTTTACCTCACAATTGTGACTTTTTTCCTCAGAATTGCTCATTTTTACCTCACAATTGTGACTTTTTTCCTCAGAATTGCTCATTTTTACCTCACAATTGCGACTTTTTTCCTCAGGAATGGCTCGGTTTTACCTCACAATTGTGACTTTTTTCCTCAGAATTGCTCATTTTTACCTCACAATCGACTTTTTTCCTCAGGAATGGCTCGGTTTTACCTCACAATTGTGACTTTTTTCCTCAGAATTGCTCATTTTTACCTCACAATTGTGACTTTTTTCCTCAGAATTGCTCATTTTTACCTCACAATTGTGACTTTTTTCCTCAGAATTGCTCATTTTTACCTCACAATTGTGACTTTTTTCCTCAGGAATGGCTCGGTTTTACCTCACAATTGTGACTTTTTTCCTTAGAATTGCTCATTTTTACCTCACAATTGTGACTTTTTTCCTCAGAATTGCTCATTTTTACCTCACAATTGTGACTTTTTTCCTCAGAATTGCTCATTTTTACCTCACAATTGCGACTTTTTTCCTCAGGAATGGCTCGGTTTTACCTCACAATTGTGACTTTTTTCCTCAGAATTGCTCATTTTTACCTCACAATCGACTTTTTTCCTCAGGAATGGCTCGGTTTTACCTCACAATTGTGACTTTTTTCCTCAGAATTGCTCATTTTTACCTCACAATTGTGACTTTTTTCCTCAGAATTGCTCATTTTTACCTCACAATTGCGACTTTTTTCCTCAGGAATGGCTCGGTTTTACCTCACAATCGACTTTTTTCCTCAGAATTGCTCATTTTTACCTCACAATCGACTTTTTTCCTCAGGAATGGCTCGGTTTTACCTCACAATTGTGACTTTTTTCCTCAGAATTGCTCATTTTTACCTCACAATTGTGACTTTTTTCCTCAGAATTGCTCATTTTTACCTCACAATTGCGACTTTTTTCCTTAGAATTGCTCATTTTTACCTCACAATCGACTTTTTTCCTCAGAATTGCTCATTTTTACCTCACAATCGACTTTTTTCCTCAGGAATTCCTCGGTTTTACCTCACAATTGTGACTTTTTTCCTCAGAATTGCTTGTTTTTATCTCGCAATTCTGACTTTATAACACACAATTCTGAGAAATAAAGTGGCAATTATCTTTTAAAATGTTTTATTCGGTGGCAGAAAAGCTTCGATAGAGAAACCTGTCGGTTGAGGTTTAAGTTTACAACAAGGGTTTCTCAATCCTACATACAGACCCTTTAACACCTTAACCCTTTATCAAATTGTAAGAAAAAAAGGGAAAATAACCTTATTTCCAAGATAAACCAGTTTTATGTAAACTGTGTCTATATAGTTGATGAGGTTCAGCACTGAAGATGCAACAAAACATGTGTTGTATTTTGTTTGTGTACTTCTACATCTTCATTCAAATCATTGTTTGTTCTAATATTGAGGGTCAGAAGAGTAAATCGTGTGAGTGTAAGCACTGATTCCAGATCATACGGATCATCGTACGGATCATCAACCCTAAAGAACGAGTAAATAAAGTGACTCGAGGTGCAGGAGACAGAAGAGTCATCAGTGACTCTGCTCGGATGTCAACTACTACCAATCAAGGTGCTTAATTATGTAGACAAAGCGAATATTATTAGGGAAACCGGGAATAGTATAGTGAACCATCTGTATTTTCTTGTGCGGGTTTGAAGAGCCGTTCCACTCCTGCGTTAGCATCCGTCTCATCTGTCAGAAACACGTCACTGTTCAGCTCAACACAATCATATAACTCATATATCGTCAGACTTGCTCAGATCATTGATTATATTAAGAATTGCCAAAAAAAATTATGCTGAGTTTTCTGAAATGTTTAAATATGCAAATGATGCATTATCTGATTAAAAATGCACTAATTTACATACATCACCACACATTAAGCCAGGATAAAGCCAGATTCATAATTCCTGTTTTGGTTTCCTGTCAAGTTTTTGGTTTTCCTGTTCACTTATGCTAACGTTACTTGTTGTAAACTCTTGCAGTTTAAAGATTTGACATATAGCATGAATTGTAATTGACTGAAATGTGTGTTTTGAACAATTTAAATTGTGTATAAAGTCTGACACCGTGACACGATCATTCCAGCGTCTGCCACACTTTCCACTGCGAGATGCGCAAACATCAATCAAACCCCACAGCCAATCAGAGTAGCGTGTGGGCGGAGTCTTGCGAGACTCCATCATTTAACATTATTCAAACATTAACATTATTTAACATTATTCAAATACATAGGTTACTGAGTTACTAAAACAATCTTTGTCATATAATTAACTTGTTTGTTCACAGTTTGAACGTTCTTGTTTCCATTTGTTTAATTTCAAGATCTGAGGTGAATTCTCCATTGTTGCTTTTACAGCTGCAACGCTGGAGCTCTAGCTGATATTCAGAGTCACATGACATGCTTTAACATTAAATAAAGTGCATAAACAGCGCCTGAGGTTATCATTGCCACTCTTTGTGTATATTGTTCCAGCGCGACGTCGCAGAAAAATAGAAACCGTTTCGAAAATAGAATCGTTGCGTGTCGCCGTCGCGGCTGGTTAGGATAAAAACACTGATTAGGATGGAAAAGACGCCATTTATCGCGCGGCGCGAGTAACGTGATGAAAGAGTGTGTACTTTAGGAATGTCAGTTGAGTTTTGATATCGAAGGTCTTGTTTTGAGCTGTTTTTGACTGGCGTTTGCGCTGGTTCTGGTACACTGACGTCATCTGAGACGCATGCTAACAGCAGGTGAGTGACGGAGGCTCGTGACGTGGGCTCAGTCGTGCAGGTCGCCGGTCTCCAGGTGGTCGGGAATGGGCAGCCCGGTCAGGACGGTCAAGCACTTGTTCCACACGCTGAAGACGGGGCAGATGGGCTGAGAGAAGGAGATGTCGAAGGTGTGGAGGTGTTGTGTTCCCGCGGCGTCGTAGAACGCCAGCGACCCGGAGTCGTAGTCCAGCAGAACCCCCAGGCGCCGCATGTGAGGAGACGGCTCGATGGGGAACTCTTTGCTGTTGTGACGCACGGCCCACGAGGTGTTGCAGCGGCTCAAGACCCACGACGTCGAGTCCTTCCCCACCCAGCCGTGTTTGGGAGCCGATTTATAAGCCACGCCAATCGCAAACCTGTGAGGAATTACAGAGCTCTCATGACAGCTGTGACATCTACAGTTCAGACCTATTAGATCATGGAAGACGTCAGTTCTGCGCACCAAGGCGGATACAGTACAAACAGTGAAATATACAATATAGCTAGACCTGGGCAACGATCAATCGAGACTAACTGCATCCGAAATAAACGTTTTTTCATAATGTCTACATGTGTGTCTAAATGCATACTGAATGGAAGTGACTGTAGGACCCAGCGGAGGAGCTCCTCTGCTCCATATAGAGATATAACACCATCTAGAGTCTTGAAATATCATGTTTTAATACTTTATTCCACAAGAGGTCGGCAAACACTTCCAATGTAAGATATTTAGAGCTGAATTACAAGGGTTATGCATGAAATTTAAAGTTTGAATGTGTTAAATTACTCTATTTCTTAATCAAACCTAGTAATTTAAAGGTAAATAAAACAAAAAATAAAAAAAGCATAAAAATATAATTTAAAGGGATAGTTCACTTTGAAATTAATTTTTGATATGTTTTATCTTACCTCAAGGGCATCCAAGATGTAGGTGTCTTTGTTTCTGCAGTTTTTTCAATTTTGACATTTTTCAGTCAAACCGTTGTTGTCTATCAGTCATACACTGGAGGCTAAGGGGGTCCACCAAAGAGCAGCACAGAGAAGTCCAAATTAAACATGATTTAATGACTCGTAAATGTAAGTACACATTGATGGCCTAAGACACGAAACGAGCGGTTTGTGTGAAAAAACGAACAGTATTTATATCGTTTTACCTCGTGTAATCACAGTGATCTGAATCAGTTGTTCAATGTCCAACTGAACCGAACTGAATCAGTTGTTCAATGTCCAACTGAACCGAACTGAATCAGTTCAATGTTACGCCGGAAGTGATCGCTTGCGTGTGACGTCACTCAATATTTACACGGAGATTTCGGAAGTTTTACCTTTTACTAAACATATTTAGATATACCGAAATCGTCTTCCATTGCGGTTTCCCGTATATCTAAATATGTTTAGTGAAAGGTAAAACTTACGAAATCTCTGTATTAACAGAGAGTGACGTCGATCACTTCCAGACCGAAGCGCCCGTGCCGTCAGATCATTTTGTCATGGCTGTGATTACACGAGGTAAAAACGATATAAATACTGTTGGTTTTCTCACACAAACCGCTCGTTTCGTGTCTTAGGCCATCAATGTGTACTTACATGTACGAGTCATTAAATCATGTTTAATTTGGACTTCTCTGTGCTGCTCTTTGGTGGACCCCCTTATCCTCCAGTGTATGACTGATAGACAACAACGGTTTGACTGAAAAATGTCAAAATTGAAAATACTGTGGAAACAAAGACACCTACATCTTGGATCCTCTTGAGGTAAGATAAAACATATCAAAAATTTATTTCAAAGTGAACTATCCCTTTAAATAAGCTTTCTGGGGGGAAAAGAGTATAATTTTACGGCTTCGGGTCATTTTGACCAGCGAGGAAAGGATGAGGGTTAAGTGAAATATAAAACGTGTGTGTGTGTGTGTGTGTGTTACCACGTGCTCCCCCCGATCAGGACCTCCCAGTAGTGGCGTCCGCTGTCGATGAACACGTTCCCGGTGACGCCGTAGTTCCCGGAGCCGAAGCGGTCCTGGGCGTGGCTCTTCATGGACGAGGCTTCGTCGCGCTCCACCGTCAGGCTGTCGTGGGAAACCTTCAGCTTGCGGTGGGCCGACTTCGGGTCGAGCTTGAACGGCTGGCCTGAGATTCAACAACAAAGTTAGACAGCAGCTTTACAGTGATAACAGGAGATTACAGTAAAAGAGAGTGTTTAGGCTTTACAGCAGATCTAGAATACAGTTACTGTCCAGATAAAGTTAGTTTCGATTGATTCACTTCCATCACAGAGATCATTAGTGATTAACTTAGACACGACCCCGCTCTACTGAAGACGTCAGTGTGTTCTGGACGCTCATTCAGCAGTGTTTGAGCTGAACACACACACTCTACAACAGGATCTGAGGTGCAAGTTTTGTAAAACGTGATCATCTCCGTGTAAACTTTAAAACCGTGATCGCGTCTGTTCCTGAGAGCTGAACATGCAGGAATCCTTAAGCCTTTTACACTATTCATACAGAACATCTCGGAAACACTTTGATCTCAGAATAAACCCCTTCAGGTGTGTGTGTGTGTGTGTGTGTGTTCTCACCCCTTCAGGCTGATGGAGACCTGACGCTGATCACCCTGTGGGGTTTATTCTGAGATAACAACCGGATGGATCATCATGATCCCTCACGTAACTGAATCTTATAGTAAGTGTTACGAGGATGTGCGAGCTCACTGTTGGTCTTGAGTTTCCCCGGCGCGCTGCTGCGACTGCCGGCCTGGTTCATGGCCTTCACGATGAAGATGTAGCGGGTGCCGCTCTGCAGGCCGTGGACGGTGTAGTGGTTCTGCTTAATGTTGGGCGCGATCATCCAGCTGTCCAGCGAGTTACACAGACCTGGAACCACACGAGCGTCAGCACAGTTCTGGAGCACATATGATTATGATGTCACATGTCTCGCTGTAGTTAGTGTGTATTGTTGATCATAAACAACATCTGCAAAGTTACGGCGCACACAGTTCAGAGCAAAGGGAGAGATTCGCTTTTATAGAAATCGCTTTTTAAGGACTACAACAAACGACTGGTAGAACTACACGAGCTTCCTCGTGGGTTAGTGACATCACCAACCCTAACATAATTTACATAAACCCGTGAACAGGTGTATGTGCACCATATTTACTGTATACTTACAGATAGAGATTTTTTGAGGAAAAATGTTGGAATTGCAGCCTGGAAATTCAAATAATTACAAAATCCAGGGGGCACTGATGTTTATACATACATATGTACACACAACAAATAAAATTCAGATCAATTCACACAAATGATATTTGTGAATAAATGACTTTATGTCAGTCAGACGGGATAGCGTGTCTGGAGTGTGTGTAATGTTGTTGAGTGTCGGAGGGACAGATGCACGAGAGAAGACGGGTTTAATAAAACGACTTAAACATTACACTCGCCAGCACACATGGGGATTGAGTGAGCAAAAGCATACAAGTAAACATCTATTACTGCCTCTCTCTCCACACACACACACACACACACGATGATCACGGCAGCGAGAGATGCTCCTCATGTCCCCGCGCTTCACTTCTGCATTACACACCCGCCACAGCGACTCGCTGCTCTTTAAGTACGATGTGACCTTATTCACTCAGTAAGCTTCTCTGTCTGTGTCTCTTCAGGCTGGTCTACGCTCATATTGTACAGATAATCTGCTCTACTTCTGTCTAATCCATTCATCTACGCAGATACAAAACTCACACACACACTTCTGGCTAAATTCTGTTTTGCTTTTGTGTCATAATACCCTCACAATCACATCCCCTGCAGTGCTTTATGAAGCGCAGGATTTTTAAGTTCTGTTTTTTCAGATCACGCCATTAGAGTCGGATACGGTGTTACAGACGGTGAGTTACAGACGGTGAGTTACAGACGGTGAGTTACAGACGGTGCGTTATGGACGGTGAGTTACAGACGGTGCGTTATGGACGGTGAGTTACAGACGGTGAGTTACAGATGGTGAGTTACAGACGGTGCGTTATGGACAGCGAGTTACGGACGGTGAGTTACAGACGGTGAGTTACAGACGGTGAGTTACAGACGGTGAGTTACAGACGGCGAGTTACAGACGGTGCGTTATGGACGGTGAGTTACAGACGGTGCGTTATGGACGGTGAGTTACAGACGGTGAGTTACAGACGGTGAGTTACAGACGGCGAGTTACAGACGGCGAGTTACAGACGGTGCGTTATGGACAGCGAGTTACGGACGGTGAGTTACAGACGGTGAGTTACAGACGGTGAGTTACAGACGGTGAGTTACAGACGGCGAGTTACAGACGGTGCGTTATGGACGGTGAGTTACAGACGGTGAGTTACAGACGGTGAGTTACAGACGGTGAGTTACGGATGGTGAGTTACAGACGGTGAGTTACAGCCGGTGAGTTACAGACGGCGAGTTACAGACGGTGAGTTACAGATGGTGCGTTATGGACGGTGAGTTACAGACGGTGAGTTACAGACGGTGCGTTACAGACGGCGAGTTACAGACGGTGAGTTACAGCCGGTGAGTTACAGACGGTGCATTATGGACGGTGAGTTACAGACGGCGAGTTACAGACGGTGAGTTACAGCCGGTGAGTTACAGACGGTGAGTTACAGACGGTGAGTTACAGACGGTGAGTTACAGCCGGTGAGTTACAGACGGTGAGTTACAGACGGTGAGTTACGGACGGTGAGTTACGGACGGTGCGTTATGGACGGTGAGTTACAGACGGTGAGTTACGGACGGTGAGTTACGGACGGTGCGTTATGGACGGTGAGTTACAGACGGTGAGTTACAGCCGGTGAGTTACAGACGGCGAGTTACAGACGGTGCGTTATGGACGGTGAGTTACGGATGGTGAGTTACAGACGGTGAGTTACGGATGGTGAGTTACAGACGGTGAGTTACAGCCGGTGAGTTACAGACGGCGAGTTACAGACGGTGAGTTACAGCCGGTGAGTTACAGACGGCGAGTTACAGACGGTGAGTTACAGACGGTGCGTTATGGACGCGAGTTACAGACGGTGAGTTACAGCCGGTGAGTTACAGACGGCGAGTTACAGACGGTGAGTTACAGACGGTGAGTTACGGACGGCGAGTTACGGACGGTGAGTTACAGACGGTGAGTTACAGACGGCGAGTTACAGACGGCGAGTTACAGACGGTGCGTTATGGACGGTGAGTTACAGACGGTGAGTTACAGACGGTGAGTTACGGATGGTGAGTTACAGACGGTGAGTTACAGCCGGTGAGTTACAGACGGCGAGTTACAGACGGTGAGTTACAGAGGGTGAGTTACAGACGGTGAGTTACAGACGGTGAGTTACAGACGGTGAGTTACGGATGGTGAGTTACGGACGGCGAGTTACGGACGGCGAGTTACAGACGGCGAGTTACAGCCGGTGAGTTACAGCCGGTGAGTTACAGACGGTGCGTTATGGACGGCGAGTTACGGACGGTGAGTTACGGACGGTGAGTTACGGACGGTGAATTACGGCGAGTTACGGACGGTGAGTTACGGACAGTGAGTTAAGGACGGCGAGTTACGGACGGTGAGTAACGGCGAGTTACGGACGGCGAGTTACGGACGGCGAGTTGTGGACGGTGAGTTACGGCGAGTTACGGACGGCGAGTTATGGACGGCGAGTTACGGACGGCGAGTTACAGACGGTGAGTTACGGACGGTGAGTTACGCCGAGTTACGGACGGCAAGTTACGGACGGTGAGTTACGGCGAGTTACGGACGGCGAGTTACGGACGGCGAGTTACGGACGGTGAGTTACGCCGAGTTACGGACGGCAAGTTACGGACGGTGAGTTACGGCGAGTTATGGACGGCGAGTTACGGACGGCGAGTTACGGACGGTGAGTTACGCCGAGTTACGGACGGCAAGTTACGGACGGTGAGTTACGCCGAGTTACGGACGGCAAGTTACGGACGGTGAGTTACGGCGAGTTACGGACGGTGAGTTATGGACGGCGAGTTACGGACGGCGAGTTACGGCGAGTTACGGACGGCGAGTTACGGACGGTGAGTTACGGACGGCGAGTTACGGACGGTGAGTTACGGCGAGTTACGGACGGTGAGTTACGGACGGTGAGTTACGGTGAGTTACGGACGGCGAGTTACGGACGGTGAGTTACGGCGAGTTACGGACGGCGAGTTACGGACGGCGAGTTACGGACGGCGAGTTACGGACGGTGAGTTACGGATGGCGAGTTACGGACGGCGAGTTACGGACGGCGAGTTACGGACGGTGAGTTACGGATGGCGAGTTACGGACGGCGAGTTACGGACGGCGAGTTACGGACAGTGAGTTACGGCGAGTTGCGGACGGCGAGTTACGGACGGCGCGTTATAGACAGCACGTTACAGACGGCACGTTACAGACGCCGTGTTACAGACGGCGTGTTACCGATTGTGCACTACAGACGGGTTGTTGTGTTACAGACGGCTCATACGGAGCGAGCTTGGGTTTGTGTCGGCTGGGTTACTCACTGACGACGTTAGCCTGGCCGGTGGAGATGGTGTACTGGAGCTCGTATGACACCACACTGAACTCGTCCTCTGATGTCCAGTGGACTGTGATGGTGTCGTGAGAGGCCGTGCACAGCTCCTCGCGGATGGTGGGAGCGTTCGGAGCTGAGAAAAAACAACACATTTCACACACATTTAAGTCCCAGAGACTTTACACTGCAAAAATGCTTTTCTTACTGAGTATTTTTTGTCTTGTTTCCAGTCCAAATATCTAATAAAGAAACAAAAAATAATCTTGTTTCTGTTTAAATTAACATTGGTAGATGATTTAGCTTGTTTTAAGCACACAGTGTATAACTCAATCTCACGTTAGGTCAACTCACACATCTCACGTGTTTCAGTATTCATGCCGCCGCATGTATTATTCACACTGTGCGCAAAAGGCCAGAAACACACGCTTGACCTGTGTGCATGCAGTAACATGTCATACCTGCTCTTCTGTTAAACAACATTGCTCAGACACATAGGCGTAGCCAACATAATAATACATCCAGAAGCCTTAATAAAAAAAGGTTTTTCTAAATTTGGGCCATTGTTGTTTACTTACAATATTCATTTAAAATTGAATTTAATTGATTTTTTATTATTATTTAATTAAAATTGGACTGCCAACACAAACAAAGAAATTCAGTGAATATACAGCTGTAAAAATTCATGTGGAGTTTTTATATTTATAACATATGATACCGTTAAACATCACACGACCAATAGGCTGAATACCATCACGACTGGAAATGTGACACTGTTACATGTGACCGTAACAAACAACTACAACTAAAAATTAAAACATTGTGCACAAAAAATATTAAATTTAAAAGGTGAAACTAATATATTATATAGTAGGGCTGTCAAATGATTAATCGCGATTAATCGCATACAAAATAAAAGTTTGTGTTTACATATATGTGGGTGCACTGTGTCTAATTATTTTATACATATAAATACACACACACGTGCATGTATATTTAAGAAAAAAATATTATGCATATGTAAAATATTTATATTTATATATAATATAAATTATATATAAATCTATATACAGTACATACATGAAAATACTTCTTAAATATATACAAGCATGTGTGTGTGTGTGTGTATATTTATATACAAAATAATTATACACAGTGCACCCACATATATTATGTAAACCCAAACTTTTATTTTGGATGCGATTAATCACGATTAATCATTTGACAGCCCCATTATATAGACTCATTACATGCAAAGTGAGATATTTCAAGCCTTTAATTGTTATAATTTTGATGATTATGGCTTCCAGCTGAAAACCTTTTCACAATATTCTAATTTTGAATTTGGGGTTTTCATAAGCTGTAAGCCATAATCATAAGGAAAAATAAGGACAAGCACATGAAAAGCCCTAAACTGTTGCTGCACAATGACATCAGAAAAAATCTTAATTTATAATGGAAAAATAAAGACATGATGTTGAAAGAAATTCTTGAATCCGCAGAGTAAAACACATGCAGGGGAAAATCAAACATTTATGTTGGATCATTTCTTGAAAAAGAGACACTGAATTACTTTGAACAACGAGAATCTACTTTTAAGAATCTATTGTTTTTTACATTTGTGTATGTTGATTTATTGTATATGTTGTTAGATGTTGTGGAAAGCATGTGTGAGTGAGTAGGTGTTGGTTTATGTGTTGTAGGGTTTTGATATGTCTTAACAAAAAATACAATAAATAAAGTTAAAAAAAGAAGAAAAAAATAAAGATAAAACCTTAAATATTAATAAATGGTAAATGGACTGCATTTAAATAGCGCTTTCATAAACCCATTCACTCACTCATTCACACACCGATAGCTGCATTATTTTACATTCAAAGCAAGTTGAGCACTGAACTGACCTGTGAGGTAATCCAGACCTTCCAGCATCTTCTTCTCTCTGGAAAAGTCCAGTGCGAACGCGTCGAACGAGTCGTTCAGGTTGATCTCTGGAATCAGGACCTGTGAGGACGCGGTTGCCATTGAGACTCTGTAATGATATATAACATGAAATGGGTTAAGACAAACTAATTAAGGCCACAATTTGATGCATAAACTTATTTATTTACTCGCACTATATATTTTTTTGCAAAAGCTGTTGCAGCCAATTGTGGTCATCTGCCGAAAGACAGAGGGCGTGTCTAACAGAAGTGGGCGTGATAAAACGTAGGGGCGTATCAAAATGAAGGGGGTTTGCTGAACAGTAAGTTAGGGGCGTGTCTAACAGTAGGGGCGTGTCTAACAGGGTGTGTCTAACAGTAGGGGCGTGTCTAACAGCAGGGGTGTGTCTAACAGTAGGGGCGTGTCTAACAGTAAGGGAGTGTCTAACAGTAGGTGTGCGTCTAAGAGTAGGGGTGTGTCTAAGAGTAGGGGTGTGTCTAACAGTAGAGGCGTGTCTAACAGTAAGGGAGTGTCTAACGGTAGGGGCATGTCTAACGGTAGGTGTGTGTCTAAGAGTAGGGGTGTGTCTAAGAGTAGGGGTCTGTCTAACAGTAGGGGCGTGTCTAACAGTAGGGGCGTGTCTAACAGTAGGGGCGTGTCTAACAGTAAGGGAGTGTCTAACGGTAGGGGCGTGTCTAACGGTAGGTGTGTGTCTAAGAGTAGGGGTGTGTCTAACAGTAGGGGCGTGTCTAAAAGGAGGGGTGTGTCTAACAGGGCATGTCAAACAGTAGGGGCGTGTCTAACAGGAGAGGTGTGTCTAAGAGTAGGGGCGTGTCTAACAGTAGGGGCGTGTCTAACAGTAGGGGTGTGTCTAACAGTAGGGGTGTGTCTAACAGTAGGGACGTGTATAACAGTAGGGGCGTGTCTAACAGGAGGGGTGTGTCTAAGAGTAGGGGCGTGTCTAAGAGTAGGGGGCGTGTCTAACGGGAGGAGTGTGTCTAACAAGGTGTGTCTAACAGGGTGTGTCTAACAGTAGGGGCGTGTCTAACAGTAGGGCTGTGTCTAACAGTAGGGGTGTGTCTAACAGGAGGGGCGTGTATAACAGTAGGGGCGTATCTAACAGGAGGGGTGTGTCTAACAGGAGGGGCGTGTCTAACAGTAGGGGTGTGTCTAACAGTAGGGGCGTGTCTAACAGGAGGGGTGTGTCTAACAGGGCGTGTCAAACAGTAGGGGCGTGTCTAACAGGAGGGGTGTGTCTAAGAGTAGGGGCGTGTCTAATGGGAGGGGTGTGTCTAACAGGGTGTGTCTAACAGTAGGGGCGTGTCTAACAGGAGGGGTGTGTCTAACAGGGCGTGTCAAACAGTAGGGGCGTGTCTAACAGGAGGGGTGTGTCTAAGAGTAGGGGTGTGTCTAAGAGTTGGGGGATGTCTAACGGGAGGGGTGTGTCTAACAGTAGGGGCGTGTCTAACAGGAAGGGTGTGTCTAAGAGTAGGGGCGTGTCTAACGGGAGGGGTGTGTCTAACAGGGTGTGTCTAACAGGAGGGGCATGTCTAACAGTAGGGGCGTGTCTAACAGGAGGGGCGTGTCTACAGGAGGGGCGTGTCTAACAGTAGGGGCGTGTCTAACAGTAGGGGTGTCATGTTTGTTCACCTCTCTGAGATGCTCTTTGCAGTCTGCAGGAATCGAGCGTGGTCCGTCTCTTTCAGAGCTTGATCCGCTTGAGCGATGAGCGAGGACGATCTCTCCACAAACTGCTTACAGTTAGCGATCTGTTGAGCTAGCCTTCTCACACGAACCACCTACACACACACAAACACATGTTAGCAGACTGAAAACAGGCACACACACGTTCAGATACACACGTGCACACAGACTTTTCTAAACCAGCAAATTATCCTCCATTTTGTCATGAAATATAAAAGATTATTGTGTAAACATAGATTCAGATGTGAAAACTAAATCTGTATTATCATAAGGCCTGAATAATAACCTCTGGCTCTGGCGATACATTAGTGAACTCTGACCCTGACGTGCAGTGAGGAAGGAAGCAGAGTTTCCTTTGAGAAAATCCCAAAGCCTTTTGTTCTTTCCCATTTCACAACAACTCAGCATTAAAACATCAGCACGTAAGAGGCTTTATAATGATGCTTCATTGAGGTGCTTACTTTTATTCAGCAAGGATGCGTTGAAGTGACAGTAAAGACAATTATGATGTTACATAAGATTCTATTTCAGAATCAGAAACGCTTCATTTCTATGATCAAAAATACAGTAAAACAGTGAAATATTATTATAATGTAAATCATCTGTTTTCTATGTGAATATACAGTAAAGTGTAATTTATCATCATTACTCCAGTCTTCAGTGTCACATGACCCTTCAGAAATCACTCTAATATGAGGATCTGATGATCAACACACAGTTATTATCAGTGTTTAAACAGTTATATTTACTGTTATATAAACATGTTTCTGCGGAAACTGATACATTTTATTTCTCAGGATTCTTTGATGAAAAGAAAGTTCAAGATTTATTTGAAACAAAAACTTTATAGACATTTTAATTGTCTTTACTGTCACTTTTAATCAATTGAACGCATTGATTTCATTACAAATGAGATAATTATGTTGATGATCGTACTTTTCCTTCTTTTATTTTGGTGCCGATGATTTGTCTCCTCTGCTGAACGATGTTTATCAGCGTGTCGCACTCTTCCGTCAGTTTGCTCTCCTGATGAGCCGCGTTGTGCTGGAAGCAGAACAACGGAAATTATGTCAAATATAACAACATGATTTGTGCAAACAATAAAACAGGGCAAGTAGAGTCCCACCGCAGTGAAGTGGCAGACCAGGTACCACCACAGCCGGATGCCACAACAATAACAGTGACATGATGACATTCATGACAACGGCTCATCCAATCAGAGAATCAGCACGTTTTACAGCTTACAAGAGATTAATAACAATAAAAACATTGATATTTTGTGATAAATACGTAAAACAAATACATTGCACATGTTCAAACTCACTTCCTTTTTTCATCCGTTTTTATATTTTATAGTGGACATTCACGAGTCAAGATCATATTGTTTCCATTACATCTGTTTACCTCCACATGTTGACACGTCTGGATCAACTTCGCCATGAGGTTTTCCAGCTCGCTGTTCCTCTTGATCAAATTGCTGAGGTTGGAATCCAACATTTGCTGAGGAAAAACAACAGCAACATCAGGAAAGCGGCGCTTCACATGTGCAGCACAATTTAAGACAATGAGGGAAAATATGATGATCTACCAAACATCCTACGTCCATAATTCGGTGTGTTTGAGCTGGTCTGTGTCTGGCGTGCGACGCGCGAGTGTGTGTCTCCCGAAGCCTCGGGCCGAGCGATTACCCTTCGTGGGGGAGGGAGGCGAGCGGCGCCGAGGATTGGGAATTTAACTAGATTGAGTCCGTTTGATGAGATTTAACCTCAACGCAGATTAAGTTCCTGCTTAATATCCCAGAACACGGATGCAAATGCCTTTGATACAAGATGCAACAAATGATATAAAATGCTGAACAATATGAGTGAGAAATAAACGTCATGATGAAGCGTGATTTGAAACGTTCCAGAGAATCTGATTTTTAAATGGAAGACAAAAAACACGGAATAAATAATGCTGAATAATGCAATAAATGCATTTATTTGATCATTTAAATACAATCTTTTGTAACATTATACATGTGACACAGTAAATATACTTTGTCACTTTGTTCAAATGTAAGTTTTATAAATGATGCTCATTTTCTCCAGTATGAAAAAAAATTTCTAAAGAGAATCTGGAAGTATACAGCGTGTCACTAATTTGCTTAATTGTTTAGCGACCCAGAAACAGTGTGGAATATTAAATATTTTTTAATTTATTCGTGAAGAATCTTTAACATGAATAGCATCTGATAGCATCATTGGGCTGGCCAGTAAATAAAATATGAGATTTGAGATGTTGAGTTGTGAGGATAGGAAATGAGGTCGCTGGGTTCAAGCGATGACAAGAGAGCAAAGAGAGCATGTGTAATGTGCACAACGCTAAAAATAGATGATCAGAGAGACGGAAAACACACACTCTCAGAGCGCTGATTTACTGTATGATATTTCATTTCATCAGATTATACGCCTCGGTTTATCGTTGGGATTTAAACCCAAATAGCAAATGTGAAAAACAAACATACTTCAATCAGGAATATTAGAGTAATTCTTTAATTAGTAAGTGTAACAATAATGCAAAAATCAAACCAGGTATTAAATTATAGATTTGACATAATCCAGACTTTTTATTCCATGTTTTGGAAGTATGCATGCAGAATTAATCTTAAACGCTCATTCCTGCAATGCAAGACTTTGCACTTTACAAAATGGCAGGTTGATTCTAATTTAAAATGAACATCTGCATTATTATCTTGGCTACTACAATACTTTTATTGCAACTTTATCACAGCCCACCACAGCCCTGATTCTGCCACATTTCCATCAATGTTTCTACATGATTAAACCTGTTCAGGGGTGTTTGTAGATGTGCAACACACTGTAAATGAACCTCACTGCTGATAATAATACGCTTGTAGACATGACAGCATGCATGATTCACCCTCAGGAGACATTTGCTGAAAACTGAACAACTAACTAGTATTACATTAGTGATCATATACAGTACGTCTCATCCTCATTTTGACCCGGAATATTTTTATGAAATAATTCAAAGAATTGAGTGTTCATCAGAGAGTCTGAGACCCCAAGACTTTGTCGCACTCGAACCACAAATACACAAAAGATGCGTTACAGAACGCGAGGAAAGATGCGTTACAGAAGGATGAGGGTTAAGAGCATTGAGGATTTCTATTATAATAGAAAGTAGGAAAATCCCACATGGCTCAAATCCCTCACAGCAAGTTTTTTAGGCCACAGCATTTCAGAGAGCCTCGGCCTGAACAAAAATAGAGGCTTTTATCTGAAACTGAATCATTTATGCAATACATGTAGAGGTGTGAAGAAGAGCCATAGAAAAGAGGGAGAACGGTCGACCTCCTATTGTTAGCAGGCATTAGAGACGCTTCAAAATGGGGTCCTTTAAGCAGATAACACTGACATCTCAGAGCAAAGCCAACAGTGCTTAGTTATATACTCGCTCTCAGATCAGAACTTAATGAGATCTTCATCTTTTCTGTGTTCAGTGTGTGATGTTGCTGTTCCAGTTCTCCTCTATATCAGTGTTTCTGAACTCCTGAAACGCCTCCATTAGATTCTCCCGGGAACACGTCACAATATTCCTCATTATCATAATTAATGCGCAGAATAAAGGGGCGGGGCCTGGGTCAGTTAGTTAGTAGTGTGTTAAACTGGCTGTTATGGAAAGGGGCGGGGCATTTCCCAAACACAATCAAAGCGCTCGACCAATCACAACACACTACTCAAGCCGACCAATCAGAGCTCAGTGTGCTTTCAGGAGGAGGGGCTTCATAGAGACAGGAAGTAAACAGAGCGTTACTGACAGACTGGGAAGAGAGGAGCCGCAACAATGGAGAATATGAGGAGAATAATCAACATTCAAGCAGGAAAACCTGTTCTAGGAGAGCCTGAAACACATCACGAGTCTGAACGATCACCTCTATTATGACTTTTGTTTTACATGAGACTTTAATTAAGGTCTCTGTTTGAGCTCCATTTAATCAGATTTCTCCAGATGAAGTAGTTCTGAATTCCACAGGTTGTGTTCGTATATTAGTACAGAGAATTAGAAGTTTAAATGTGCATGTTACAAATAACTCTGATATTCCTGCTGTACACACTCGAAAATCTGCTCTGAAAGCACAGACCGAGTACAAGCATCTGACAAAACCCCAGCTGGAAACTATGAGTGTGTGTGTGTGTGTGTGTGTGTGTGAGACTGAGCTTCCACTCGCTCCACTCATTCCCAAACATCGGGTTTTCTCAGGAAGGAACGGGACAAAAGCTGTAGAGCCGAACACACTCTCCAACAAGAGGAAAACGCCTGACTTCCCTTTTTCATCCGTTTCCAATTACTTTCCACTCCCGGACGGTCTCCCGGCGAGAGTGTGACGGGACGCTTGCAGAGACAACAGTGTGTGTGTGTTTCTGCAGCACTCAGTCAAATGAACATCTAGATTAGATCAACATCATTTATTCAAATGATAAGAAAGTGTGTGACTCCAGATTCACAGCGTTTGGTGTGTTAATAGAAGAGTGTTTTCTGGAGTCTGACGCGTGTCAGAAACGGTGCGTCTGAATGTTTTATAACACACTTTAGGCTCTGAAATGTTCCAGCAGTAAATATAACCTTCCGTCTATTATTTATCAAAATACACAACAGTTATAATGGCTTTAGTGTGTGTGTGTGTGTGTGTGAGAGAGAGAGAGAGAGAGAGAGAGAGAGAGAGAGTGCGTGTGTGTCCGTGTGAGAGCGTAAATGTGTGTGTGCGTGCATGTGTCGACCCACGCTAATGTAAGCGTCTCGTCCGACGGCATGATCAGGCGTGTGTGTGTGTGTGTGTGTGTGTCCACTCATGCTGGATTCAGTGACCCTGTAAAGTAGGTCACATGACGCATCAGTGACACGCAGCAGGATCTGCCCTCACGCTGTCACCCAGTTGTGTTGTGTATTCTTCATTCTAAAACGTTTCATGTTCTTATATTATATAATATGATATATAGCATTACAGTACAAATGTAAATATATATATATATATACACATCACCAGGATCGTCTCGTCTTCTGCACTCATAACTGTGAGTTTCAGAAACACTTTATGATTTATGTTACAGTGATTATTTCACAGCCTGGAGGGGCTTATTGTTTTTATAAAATGTGGGCATGCAATACATGATAAAAGACAAATATTTAAAAAATTGTCCTGCCAAGAAAAAAAAGTGTGTTACTCTAGAAGTTGGCAAGCGAACTAGAATCTTGGCACATTAATAGATGTTGAGATTGAGATTGTAGCCCGAAAACCTGGAATAGAAGGAGCTTTTTTTAGCCAAAATGTCAGGAGCAGATTTATAAAAAATAAAATGAAAATAAAAACATAAAGATGTGAGTTTATGAGCTTGTCTTTGATGAATTAATAGTAATCTGAATGTCAAAAATAGTGGTAATTAAATGAACGCATTAAAGTTTAACAGTTTAATCAATCTCTTAAAATGCAATCAAATGTACATTTTAAAAGTCCTCTTATATTGTGCAGCACAACAATTTCAAATCGCAATTACATTTATATCGCAATCACAATTTGTATTAGATTTTTACTGTATTTCCCCAGTGCGGCTCACCTTCAGCTTGTCGAAGCGTATTATTATTAATATTTTATAGTCATATTGATATATAATCACAAAACACTTCTGAAAAAATAAATCGCATAAAACCTGGATTTTTTGTTTTATTTGAGATTTTTACTGTATTTCCCCAGTGTGGCTCACCTTCAGCTTGTCGAAGCGTATTATTATTAATATTCTATAGTCATATTGATATATTAATCACAAAACACCTCTAAAACAATCGGATAAAACCTGTATTTTTGTTTTATTTGAGATTTTTACTGTATTTCCCCAGTGCGGCTCACCTTCAGCTTGTCGAAGCGTATTAATATTAATATTTTATAGTCATATTGATATATAATCACAAAACACTTCTAAAAAAATAAATCACATAAAACCTGGATTTTTTGTTTTATTTGAGATTTTTACTGTATTTCCCCAGTGCGGCTCACCTTCAGCTTGTCGAAGTGTATTATTATTGATATTTTATAGTCACATTGATATATAATCACAAAACACTTCTAAAAAAATAAATCGCATAAAACCTGGATTTTTTGTTTTATTTGAGATTTTTATTTTTGTATTTTATTTTTGTATTTCCCCTGTGCGGCTCACCTTCAGCTTGTCGAAGCGTATTATTATTAATATTTTATAGTCATATTGATATATAATCACAAAACACTTCTAAAAAAATAAATCGCATAAAACCTGGATTTTTTGTTTTATTTGAGATTTTTACTGTATTTCCCCAGTGCGGCTCACCTTCAGCTTGTCGAAGCGTATTATTATTAATATTCTATAGTCACATTGATATCACAAAACACCTCTAAAACAATCGGATAAAACCTGTATTTTTGTTTTATTTGAGATTTTTACTGTATTTCCCCAGTGCGGCTCACCTTCAGCTTGTCGAAGCGTATTATTATTAATATTTTATAGTCATATTGATATACTAATCACAAAACACCTCTAAAACAATCGGATAAAACCTGTATTTTTGTTTTATTTGAGATTTTTACTGTATTTCCCCAGTGCGGCTCACCTTCAGCTTGTCGAAGCGTATTATTATTAATATTCTATAGTCATATTGATATATTAATCACAAAACACCTCTAAAACAATCGGATAAAACCTGTATTTTTGTTTTATTTGAGATTTTTACTGTATTTCCCCAGTGCGGCTCACCTTCAGCTTGTCGAAGCGTATTAATATTAATATTTTATAGTCATATTGATATATAATCACAAAACACTTCTAAAAAAATAAATCACATAAAACCTGGATTTTTTGTTTTATTTGAGATTTTTACTGTATTTCCCCAGTGCGGCTCACCTTCAGCTTGTCGAAGTGTATTATTATTGATATTTTATAGTCACATTGATATATAATCACAAAACACTTCTAAAAAAATAAATCGCATAAAACCTGGATTTTTTGTTTTATTTGAGATTTTTATTTTTGTATTTTATTTTTGTATTTCCCCTGTGCGGCTCACCTTCAGCTTGTCGAAGCGTATTATTATTAATATTTTATAGTCATATTGATATATAATCACAAAACACTTCTAAAAAAATAAATCGCATAAAACCTGGATTTTTTGTTTTATTTGAGATTTTTACTGTATTTCCCCAGTGCGGCTCACCTTCAGCTTGTCGAAGCGTATTATTATTAATATTCTATAGTCACATTGATATCACAAAACACCTCTAAAACAATCGGATAAAACCTGTATTTTTGTTTTATTTGAGATTTTTACTGTATTTCCCCAGTGCGGCTCACCTTCAGCTTGTCGAAGCGTATTATTATTAATATTTTATAGTCATATTGATATACTAATCACAAAACACCTCTAAAACAATCGGATAAAACCTGTATTTTTGTTTTATTTGAGATTTTTACTGTATTTCCCCAGTGCGGCTTACCTTCAGCTTGTCGAAGCGTATTATTATTAATATTTTATAGTCATATTGATATACTAATCACAAAACACCTCTAAAACAATCGGATAAAACCTGTATTTTTGTTTTATTTGAGATTTTTACTGTATTTCCCCAGTGCGGCTCACCTTCAGCTTGTCGAAGCGTATTATTATTAATATTTTATAGTCATATTGATATATTAATCACAAAACACCTCTAAAACAATCGGATAAAACCTGTATTTTTTGTTTTATTTGAGATTTTTACTGTATTTCCCCAGTGCGGCTCACCTTCAGCTTGTCGAAGCGCTCCCCCAGCGCCGCCACCTGGTGCTCTCGGTGATGCCCGACCAGTTTACACAGAGAGCAGATCAGCTGCTCATCCGTCACACAGTACATGTTGACCTTCTCCTCCGCATGTTCGGCACAGGCCAGTCCTCGGACCCGAGCGTCCGGCACCGGATCCGTCAGCCGGTGACCCGTGAACGGCTTCTTGTTAGGGTGCGTGGCCCGCAGGCACTCCTGGCAGTACGAGACCTCACAGGTCACGCAGGTCTTCAGCGCCTCCTGGGGCGGGTCGGTCTCGCAGAACTGGCACTGGACCGGGGAACTCATGCTCGTGCGCCGGGTCTCGCTCGGGGAGTTCGGGCCGCTCAGCGAGGCCTTCTGGAAGCGCTCGATGATGTTCTGCAGAGTCACGTTGCGCTTGAGCCCGTCTAGGCCCTGCGGGTCGAGGGCGATGGCATACCGGCAGGTGGGACACTGGAAAGCGGAGACGGGTTTGGACTCGTCGGATGAGCTTCGGTGGGACACCAGGATCCGGTGAGCACAGTTAAAGCACAGGCTGTGGGCGCAGGGCAGAAGAAGAGGATCCTCGAACAGCTCCAGACAGATTGGGCAAGTCAACTCCGACTCCAGTGTGTCCATCTTCAGTGAAGCGATCGGGACGCCAGCGAAACCCAGGGAAGCCGTTTAGCCGTCTGTGGAGGAATCAAAGATGGCTTCACTTTTGCTCAAACACATCCATTCAAGCACTTGAACTGGTGAAAAGTGACAGTGAAGACTTTTATAACGATACAAAAGATTTCAAATAAATGCTGAACTTTCTATTCATTAAAGAATCCTGAAACAAAATGAACATTGATAATAATCATAAATGTTTCTTGAGCATCAAATCATCATATGTGAACCGATGACTCAAAACACATCCAAACACGAAAACTGATCAAAAGTGACAGTAAAGACATTTATAATGTTAAAGATACTATTTAAAAGGAATAAATTACACTTCACATAGAAAACAACTATGTTAAATTCTAATTATATTCCACTGTTTTACTGTATTTTGGATTGATCAGTTAAACACTGCCTTGGCTTTGGTGAGACTTCTTTTAGCCGACCTCCACTTTTTGAGCGGTGGTTTATTTCGCCTCACAAAACACTCAAAGCTTTCATGACTCATTTATATTTGATAATCATAGGCTTTAGGAAAGAAAAAGCTAAAGTGAGAGCTCTTTATCCGACTACTCCAATGTTCCTCCGGAGATAAGATCCCAGTAACAGGAAAATGCTCCAGTGTTTCAGAAGAGATCTCAAGATGAACTCATCAAATGAGCATCCACATTCATTTTAAATCTAATACTCTTAGTAGTCCAATAAAGATTGCTTCATTATTTTTGAGTGCTTAACTATGTATTATTGGTCTTGCAAAACCACCGGACGTTTCGGGAATCCTCAATATCTCAGTTCAGGATGGTCCGAGGTGCTTCTCAAGGTCAACATTTTGCACATACTTGTTCCTTATATACTTTCACTTTTAATGAAGACAAAGTTGAAAGTCCCCCTATTATGCTTTTTAGGACATTCCTTTTCTTGTAGTGTGTAATAAAGCTGTTTGTGAATTGTTTCAAAGGTCAGTCTCACTTCCTACTGAAATTAGCATAATTAGCCTGTGGTGTTGATTGGCTGAGCAGCATCTCTTAGCCCCGCCCCTCAAACACTAGTGTATCTGAGACTGGAAGAGTTCGGCTCGTGTTGTTCGTGTCGAGGAGACGCTGTTCTCTGAGATTAATACGGTAAAACCCACGCCATCGTTACTGTTCGCATCACTGTGATCAAGAGCTGATAATGAGCGTTTGCTCTCTGACCAATCACAGCAGAGCAGCTCTCAGAGAGGCGGGGCTTAGAGAGACTGAATCTTTAATCGAAGCGTTTCAGACACTGAGAGCAAGAGCTGATTTTTCGACCTTAGATGCAGTAAATCTTTTGTTAGGATCCTTTAAAACTGCATAATAGTACCCTAATTTTATGTTAATTGATTATCTCTGGTGGGAGCAACCTAAAATTTTCACAGATGAATTATAGTGTATAACTAATATTTTACAACCAAGCAAAATTCAACTTCGAAGCAAACAATTTTACAATTGTTGGACCACTTAAAAATAGACAGAACCAGTGACTGACAACTATTGACTCATTTAATGTATTATCTGAAATATGTTGATACTTCCTAAACTATTAAACAGCCACAAACGCAAACACAGGGAATATTAGCAGCATATGTCATTAAAGCACCGGGCCGGTTATAGCATTGTGTTTATGATTGTGTAATATTATAATATGAGCTTGACGGCTCAGCCGAGCAGAACCGCGACTCTTTGTTCGGGAGCAGATGCACGGATGTCCATCACACTCAATCACACGCATCCCCATCACACACTCATTATGAAGCTGTGATGACCTGTGAAGATCCAGTAATTACTGCTCCAAAGCCATCGCCGAACAAAAGGCCGATTGTTTGAAGTTAATACAATATCTGTAAAAATGTGCACAGAAACAGTTGCCTTCAGTAAACAATGACCTTCGTTTATAATGTGACGAATCTACCAATCTAAACCACAGTAAAGAAGTTCAAATAAATCATGCATTTTATGGAATACACATCATTGTCAACCCTCCTTTAATCAAAATTACACACACAAACATGCCCCTGCTTTCATATTTCACATTTTAGAATAACAGAGCCAAGAACCCTCAATAACACAGTATAATAAATAATAGAAATGCATGTGAATTATGTGAAGACCAAACAGCAGCGCACACCATTTCTACTCTAAACGAAGCCATAAACGATCATTAATCATAAGATTAGTTTATTATTATGTCCATGAGTAAGATGTAAGGATTAAACAGTATTAAATCGAAGCATCAGGAGGAATTAATGTTTAACTTTTAAAATCCCTTCAGAGCAACAGACCAAAAACAATCTTCGCTTACACTCTTTATTTTAAGGTGTTTTTGTTACACCGTATTTATTACACACTTCAGTACTGAGTAATATTAACTACATGTACACACAATAGGGTTTGTTGTTTGTTATAATTATTATTAGTAACTACAATGCCATTGTAAATTAAAGTGTTACCCAATCTTATATTACTCTAATCATTCATTGACTTAGCGGAACAAAATTATTAAAATCACAGAAATTAACTTTAAACCCAGTAAAGTAAACAGTTTCCCAAACCCGCTGAGAGCAACGCGATGCTTCACATGATAGCGGGACATACACGGAGACAGAATCATACAGAGTATCATACACACTACAGTCTGCTGTCACTCACACACACTCACACACACACACACACACACACTACAGTAACGCAGAAGTGTTTCACCCACCGATGGATTTCGCTTCTCTTCGCGCTTCACAGCCATTTCCAGAACTTCTGTTCAGATTTCACAAAGCTTGTTTTGTTCGGAGAAAAGCTCTTGTGGAAGAGCAAGAATTCCAGATGGTTCATTCCCACATAACACGCTTAATCCAAAGTCACTGCCAGAGCGAGACGCTGAACTCACACACACACACACTACAGTACAGAGGGAAGTCCGACCCATTTCCGCGAATCGGTTCTTTCGAACACATCGATTCAGTGAACCAGATTCTGTGATGCTTTTACGTCATCGCGTACACGGCGCGGTATTTCTGAAACGTTCAAATAAATATGTAAGCATATCGGACTATTGGCTAAATATTGTATACATAAATGTACATATTGTATTATATTCAGAAATAAAAAAAAAGAATAATGAATTGACTCTCATTACAATGAAAAAATCAAAATGCAGTGCAACTTTGTAATTTATTTGAATTACATAATCTGGTGAAGTATTTATTATGAACTTTATTTGAATTATATTCTATTGTAATTATAATTATTTAATTGTAGGTATTTATGTTTATTTTATCATGCCTTTTCTTCCTCTGTTCTGACTCTTTATGCCATTTTGTTGTATTGAGATTTTGTATTCAATACAAAAAGCATATCAGACTTATTTTAGTGTTATATAGTCTTTGTAAATATTCAGATTTAGACTTTATTTATATATTTAGTTATTTTTTCATGTTTTTTAAACCATGAAACTTATGTGTTTTTTTGTTTATTATAATTACATTGATGTCAGTTCAAGTTATTGCAGCAAATATTCAGCAAAACAAACAAAAAATCATAAAAGCACTTCAGACCGCCTCCTTGAATTGGAAAGGAAGAGTTTTAGTCAATAATAACATACATAAATCCCTATTTTGTGACACAAATGAATGCAAAATATTTTATTAAACAGTAAACAAAATTATGAAAATAGGAAATACTAGAATTATTTATAAACCATCTCACAAAATTAATGTGCATCTTTCAGATTTTGCATGTTGAAGTTGTAAATATTTCAGCACATTATAATCCGTATGTGCCGATTATACTGCAAATTATCAATCAAATCCTTGCATGATTATCAAAATCTGAATTATCAAAAACTGTTGACTGTACGTCGCATAAGCAAATATTGTGGAAATCATATTTTAAAAGACAATACTATGTGAAATAATGTGGCAAGTACAATGTGAAAGTATTAATGATCTTAATATTAGCATATAATTACCATATATTTAAAAGGCATGTGTATAGATAGTAAAATTGTTAAAATTATTAATTCCCAGAATTAACTATGACAAGCACTAAAATGTATATATGTTATGACCTCAGTGTTTATCGTAATGTTTGACAAAAAGCAAACAAAAAATTCACTATGAAGAGTCCGAAAGAGGTATTGACTGAAGATCCGTTCGTAATGATTCAAAACGATTCTTTAACCGAGTCATTTTGAGTGCGGTATTGTGAACTGGTTCATGAGCGGACTCGACTCAAAAGAATGATTCTTTGGTGAATCGTACATCCCTAATAAACACGCAGAGATTCAGAGGGAGCGAGAGAGAGTAAGTAAAGTCAGCACAACAGGAAAAGCTGCCTGATAATTCCAGGAAAAGCGACTCCGCCTAGAGGAAGAGTGGAAAGAGTTCGGAGAGAGTCGGTGTCCGTCCATCAGCTTCTCTTCTGAAGACACAATGCTGGATCTGACAGGGAATAAAACTCTCCTCTCCTCTCCTTCCTCTCATCTCCTCTTCTCTTATTCTCCTCTCCAGCAGTAAAACCGCATTTTTCCATCTTAAAAGTATATCTAAATTACGCCATATGCTCTCATTGACAAATGCGGGACAGTTACTGTAGTTCATGCAGGAGATCCTGTTCCTATTTAGCACCAAAACTCTGGAACAATCTTCCTAACATTGTCCGGGAAGCAGACACACTCTGACAGTCCAAAACTAGACTCAGTTAATAACTCAAAACTAACTTTATCTGGACAGTAACTGTATTCTAGATCTGCTGTAAAGTCCAAACACTGTAATCTCCTGTAAAGCTGCTGTCAAACTCTATACTGTTAAAGCGCTGTAGAGATGAAGGAGACACGACTCTCCTCCTCCTCTCCTTCTGTCCAGTCGATTGGTTTTGCTTCAGGCCGATATTACACGGATATAAAAATGCCTTCAAATAAATTAATGTTAAATTAATATTACCACGAACCACAAACCGCAGTCCAACAAAAAGCCCCATTCACATGACAGGCTGAAGAGAGAAATGCAAAAACAGCAGATTTCCCCCGGATACACTGAACAAATATTGTTTTATATAAGCCATAATACCAAGTGACAGATGGATTTGTTACAAAATATCATAGAATTTGTTTGGACACATGACCTTAGATTGACCTTAGCATTGCTTTTTTCCTGTCTGTGACTGTTAGACTGTTATGATATATAGAATTCAATTCATATAAATCTTAATTATAATTTACATTTAAAGCGTAAATTATTGCAGTACAAACATCAACTACCAGATGTTACAATTTAAAATAATATATCTGCGTATTTGTATACTAATGAGAATTTGAGTGAAAATTTGCTTAATTGTCCAAAAAATGCTAAAATATAAATAAAATATTTCAGTGGAAAATATGTTTATTTTATATGTGTATTATTATTAAATATG